GATAGCAAGAATTCCTACACTTAGCGAGAATCAAGAAAATCGTGTTCCCTTGTTGTAATATTATTAATGGGATTTGTCACATTGGTCAAGAACGCTGGAAAAATATTAAAAACAGAAGATAATATTAGCATAAGTGCCAATACAATTGGTTGTACACCTACCAATCATGGTCTCAAAGTACACACCAGAAGAAAAAACTCACTACTTTGAAAATGACATCATAAAATTCATTTATCTTTATCTTTCACAAAAAACACATCAAATTGATCCATTGATGACTGTCTGATCAGATGAAAGTAAAATTTCAGTTATTTTGAACAATATTTTTGACAATGTGATGGGAAGACATCAAAGAATGCACTTACAAAACCAACAATAAACTTTGGTGACGGAAATATGACGGTGTGGGTATGAAAACAATGACAATTATAATCTGGATAAGACAAATGCCACATTGAAACATGGCAATGATCCAAAATACAAAGCGTCAAGTATTCAAACCTGGCTTGTAGAAGACAAAGTTATTATTTCCCAATCTCCAGATCTTAATTCCATCTAGTGGGACACATCATCTGAGAATAAGCACCAGTTCCCAAGTTTAGATCAAAAAGTAAGAAAATTATGAATAGGCATCACTATAGATTAATTAAAAATTACAATAACGATCATTTTTCTTGAGCAAGAAGGTAATTGTGGGTGATGATTTTGTTTTGGGTTATTCTCGGATGAATCCGGTAGATATTCAGGAAATTGGCCTAGAAATAAGCACCAGCTCTATTTTGGAGTCCAAAAAATGGCAGTCAAGTGGTGCTTATTTCCGTGAGAATACGGTATTTAAAAATTTATTAATTATTAATTATTAAATTTTTATTTAAATGGCTAGTTATTGTAAATAAATTTTAATTGTTATTGCATTAATGGGTAATGAAAAATTCTTTCCAAAAAGGTTATATTCGAGACAAAAGATGCATAAAGAGAAGATTTCTCAGAGATTATTTTTGAGTCAAAAGATTTAGCAAGCTTTATATACATAATATGTCATAAACAAAAGCTTTATGTAAATTTGTTTATAGGTTTAACACGATACAGTTTACTTCTAATCCTCGGATTTTTGTATCTTATCGTTATATTTCGAACCGTGTTTAAGCTGCATACGAAAAAAATACCAAGTTTTTTATTTTGGAAATTGTCAAAAAGTTTGCTTGGAATTGTCAAGTCAAGCTGCATACGAACAAGCTGGCTTCCTTTATTCGAGAACTGTCATATCAAGGAAAATACTTTAAACTTTTTCGTTTATTCGAAATTGTTCACTTTTTACTTATATTAGATGAATTATTAATGAAAATGTTCAATCTTCTTATTTCACCAGTGTAGAATTGCATTGAACGTTATGGTAAAAGCACACGAATTATTATTTCAAACGATCCAATATATATTTATACAAATATCACCATGATTCCATTATAATTTCTCATTCAATACTTAGTAATGAAAAAATTTTAATAATACTGAGATTATGGGCAATGTCTACGATTTTAACTTCTCGTCGTTAACGATGATGTTCTTGCGTGTGGGTCGGCTGCTGTTATTCTGACAAAAATGTCACTATGTTTTTATAAATTATCTTATCCAGATACTTTATACAATTTGACTTTATAAGAACCCTCTGCGAACAACCTTTACAAAGAATATTCTATAATAACAATAGGTATATTTTAATGGAATTTATTTCTAGCTTCTGATGCATTTTTGACAAATGCTTAAAAAAGTTGTTTTTTATTTCTCTAAAACTTAATTAGTGATAGTAGTTGAAAGAATTACCAATCGTTTCTATACAGTATAACTCTTAACTTTAAAATTATTTCATAGTTATAATTTGGCCAGAATTCTTTCACTAGGAAAGTGATTCGGAAAGTTGCGTTCCACAGGTGTTCAATAAGATTCAGTCGAGAACTGCGATGGCCCAATCGAGTAAGTTGATCCTCAATTATCGACGAACCATCGCATCATTTTTTTGGCGACGTGCTTCGGAACGTTGTCTGTTGGAAGACAGCCTCTCGCAGACTGTACCTCATAAATTATTGTTTAATATATCAATATTCATTTTTCATCAATGACATGATATGATGGCCTTTTTAAAAGGTTCACCAGTACTATCTTCTACGGATTGCTTTCATCGGACCAAATTAATCATCTCTAATCGACCATCCAACTTTGATATTTTTTTGCCCAATTTGATCGCGCTCTACCGAGTAAAAGGCTTTTTCGCTTTATCTTTTGCGAATAAGCTATTCTTTCGAGACATTCCCAATTTCCGGTTCAGTTTTAAGCTCGTGGTGATGCATTTTCCGGTTACTTCTTTTTGCATATTCCAACGGACCGAAGCTAAGCCCACTTGTTCCGACGCTATCTTCTTCCGGAAAGCATCAATGCGGATGCGTGAATGAGAGACGTTAAATTGTTTGAGTTGTTGAGGTAATAAGTTCCATATGTTCAATTCCCTCGCGCCGTTTGTATTTCAAACCAACAGTTTAACTATCAATGCCGTTGAGTCACTTCTCGCCTATAAAAATGCAAGCATGTTATGGATTTTTATGGATTGCAAGAGGATTTATATATTTGATGTATTTAGAGAGGGCATCAGTATATATACTTGTGTTGAAGCACTGACCAAGAGCGCAAAAAGATAATAAAAATGCGTATCTCTCATCATCTTTATATTTTATTTTATTACATCGTCAGAATCATAAAGTATTTTATTAAATCATTTATAAAACTAGCTATAATTTACAAGAGTTGATAAAATCTTGTAGATGATAAACTAATTAGATAAGAATTTTGTTATGTTTTATTTTGTGAAGTGTTTCATTTATACCACCATCACCACCCACCCAAAATACTTAATATTATAAATAAATTTAAGATATCTTAACCGTAATGATTGATAAACTAGCTAGACCTGTCTCTCGAATCCCAAAATCGCGCATGATTGAATTCTCAACAAAACATTACAATGTATAGCCACCCGCAGAGCTACGTCGTCTCAAAAATGCCTCTCTTAATATCGAATTGATGCTAGAATAATCTGACGATACTTGCGAATCGTTTGTAGATTTGCCACTAGATTCTACGCCATAATAATTGTTTCCCTTGTCAATTTCATTGCTATTCTGAGAAAAGTTATCATCTGGTTCATCAATTTCCATATACCCCAAGTCTTCTTCCAATTCATTGACAACATGCGAGTTGCGCGTCAGATGCGCAAGATATAGTACAGAGTTGATGTTGTCATATGGGTTCAAAAGTTCGGAAGATGATGAGGATGGATTAGAGCGTGTTGAGATTCTAATTGGGTATATTTTGTGAGAAGAGTGATGATGATGATGATGATGATGATGAGGATGATGATGATGATGATGGTGATGAGTATTATGATAAAAAATGCTG